AGGTGCAATGCTCTTGAAGTCAGAATGGTATCTACATCCAAACAATTGTCTGAATGAGAATAAGCTAAGGAGTGGAGGTCTTGTATATGCATTTCCCCAGCAACAAGTTGCACGTAATACTGTTAATTAAACCACAGAAGTCTGTAATTTTTAAAAGAACTAATGGATCTCTCTTTAAAAGCTATATAATCTAGGATAAAATCACAATCTGTAAGATGCGCTGATCTTCCTTTGATCTTCCTTTAATTTTTCTACTATAACACTACATCTTGGGAGAACAGCAGTCTGGGTAAATCTGACAGATAAGGCGTTTTCCTTTCTGTGGTTGCTGAGCCAGTCTGAACACCTGTTCTGCTCCTGTGTAATTTCTCTGCACACAGCTTCAAATAGTGTTTGATGATCACCCACAGCATTTGTAATAAAAACTGAATAAGAGCTCCGTACAGACAAATGCATCTCTAGTGAGCTTGACTGTGGGTTTGAGATATGAAAGAAAATATAGTTCTTCAATATTAAATAAGACTTTCTCACTGAACTAGATGTGGACATTGATCTTCAGTTCTGGAGTCAAAGAAGAAATAGAGCAAAGTCTGCTTTTATTTTGCTGGAACTGGCAAAGGAAATATAATTCAAGAATGAAGAGCAGTCACAGGAAAACAAAACATACAAACAAAATCTTCCATTTGGCAAAAAGACTGCATCATACTATTCTGTATGTGGACTTTCAGTGATAATCTGGCCTTTGCAGTCCCTGAGCTCAAATGTAACAGTGGCCAGGCTTAAGAAATTAAGTCTTCATCTGAAGAGTACAAAAGAATGAATACCATCACAGTGAGTCTGACCTGCCTTGTGCCAGTTTGAGCTCCTGACTAAAATTGAAGGATTCTACTGGTTTCAGTACAGCAATATCAATCATATGACCCTGTGCTTTATTTGGTTTGTCAGTCACTTCCTGTAATTAAGTTCAAAGTTTTTGTTTGAACTTCATGTTTACATTTCAATCATTTGAGAAAATAAATTATATTTTCAGAGGTTGACCTTGAATAGTAATGGATTTTTGGGGCATAATTTTCTAAGAAGCAGTTCAGAAGTGAGGGAAGAATACTGTTGTCCAATGGATCTTTTCAAAATAATTTTTTGTGGCTGATTTTGTCAGTCTTGGTTTGGTATCACAAAACACTTGCCTGGATACCTCGTAAAAATTTAGAATTTTTTAGAAGTGGTTTGAACAAAATATTTATTAAAAAAATATCTCTAATCCCATAGTCAAACCCTGTTTGATTTCTGAATTTGAAAGCTATGATAATACTTTGCTACAATATTTAAGGATATTTAGTCCTAACTTCCATACTCCATGCCTGCCACTATAAATAATGAATGATATATTGAAAAGAAAGTGTGAAAGAAGATTCCATTCCTATATCAAATTCAATTCAATGACATCTAAAAGCTATAAATACTTCTTTCTTTAACAAAAGATTTGGTTTTTTCTTTAATAAGAATTTGCTGAAGATAATCTTCTTAAATAAAAGTACTATCTCTGACCAACCGTGTTGGAGTGTTGCTGATGACCCTTATGAGAAAAACCTCCCAACAAAAACAAAACAAACAAAAAGCACCAAAATACTTTGCTTACAGAAGAAAACTATGGTTGTTATAAATCTCTGCTGGGTTTGATAATATGTATTTTAAATCCCATTAATTAAATGCCTTCAGAAAAACCAATTTGCCTTGCTGGAGTTTCTGTTAGTCTATCTTAAATGTCATCAACATGCGGAAGAGACCTCTGAGCTGTTTGTGCAGCACATGGATTATGCAGTGTATCATGGAAGGGCACTGTCTCACCACAGTACCATCTGCTTCAAAGTGCAGGGGGAAATGCTGAACACTTCCCTCAGTTTCATGCCATAAAAACAGTGAATAGGAGCTCATTAGCCTACAGCAGCTCCCATTGTAATCACATTATATTCATGCAGAGAAAATTGCTTGCCTGAACAGTAAGTCCTTCCTATTGTTTAACACTGGTTGGATGCTTCCTGCCATTTCTGCAGCCCAGATCGCTTTCATTGTTTTTGCTGCTGGAGAAATATTTTGTCGACTTTCAATTTGAAAAACATTCTGCTATCTCCAGTGAAAAATATTGCTTTATAGAGCAACAGTCTGAATTGGAACTAGACTGGAATTTTTCTCACGTTATCATTATTTTTGTTAATTTTCTTCAGGGAAAAATTAAATTATGTTGATAAAAAGAAAAATCACTGGTTCAGATACCAAAAAGGCAAATTGTGTAAATAGTAATCAAGTAGATTGCAAGCTCTCTGAAATATTACTCCAGTACTTTACCCTCCTACCCCATGAGTTGCACAATCTTTGTAATTTAATTTTTTTAAAATTTTGATAATTGTTATGAAAAGAGGTAAGCAAAATATATTCTACAGCATTTCAGCTTCATCCTGATGAAGATTAAACAGAAATGGTAGATGGACTGAACCTTTTGTGTTTCACAGAGGTTTCCACTGTTGTCCATAGGGTTGTGCTGCTTTGCTGTAGTGATAAACCTCCAACAAATTATTACTTAATTACTTTTACAGGGTTAGGTTTGAAAAGCAGCCCAATCTATTGCTCTTCTAGCAGTACATACCGGTGATTGAAAAGAAAACCACTCAAATATAATAATAGTTTTCTTTTTTTTTTCTGTTTAAAACCTTAACCTTTCTATTTCTTTTACTGCACTGTGTGTAAGGCTAGGCATTGTGAAGCCCAGGTTACTGTAATGTGTTTTGCTGCATGTACACTAATATGTTCCAGGGAGGTAAATTTGGTTGTGGATGCCAACTATTCCATGCTAAGTCTGCTTCCCTAGACTGTGAATTCAGTGAGTACTAACAGCTAGTAACTTGCAGATTTTGCTTGAATGAGGTAATCAAAAGGCAAATATGTAGAATACTTTCCAGCCCCTGAGAACTTTCACATTTTTAATGAAAAATACTTACCATGAAACCTGCACTCAGGGTTACCAAATGGAAATGGTTAAGCATTTCATTGTTTCATAATTTTTCCCATCTGTCTTTGCATCTCAGTTATGACTCAACTGAGATAAAATAAAGCTCCTCTGACATTTTTCAGTAATCTTGAAAAATGAAATGTGGTGATGGTGGTATCAAATTTGGTGTTTATGGTGGTGATTAAAAAAAATTTCGTTTGTTTCCCAACATACTCAGCCTCAACACCATACTCCGGTTTTTATTTTATTTCTGTGCTTCCTCAGTGAAAATAATTGCACAGGGAGAATTTCTGGCCTTACTCAAATAAAAGAGAATTTTTACTGCTTTTCATTTGAGTCAGAGTTTGAACATGAGTAATGTGATTTTTATGCAACTTTATTTATTTTTAGAGTTTTGGTATAACAAAGACTATGAAGAGGTAAAAAATATTTCAAACAGCCTGTGGTCTAAGTAGTGTACATCTACTGTGATACAGGTGAATTCCAAAGCTTTATTCTTTATCTTGGTGTTATGACAAACTGTGGGAATCATTTGACCTATGTATTTTTTCCTTGTGCTTTGTGTCTTAATTTGCTTTATTTTACCTTGTTTTCCAAACATTTTCCTATTAATTAATATTATAGCCACCCTGTATTTTATGAGAAACATTTGAAATTGTCTGGAAAAAACCTTGGAACTTCACTAGGTAGCGTTGCACCATATTTTGGCAACTGGTAAATCTAGGGATGACGTGCATCTCGTACCTGGGGCACAGGAGCAGAGCAGAAATGAAAAGGAGTTTATTTCCATTAAAGCTATTGTGATTTTACTTTAAAATTATTTTTGTTTCAAGTAAAAGCCAATGAGACTCATCTAGTCCTTGAGCTTGAACTTTATGTGCACGTTTAGCATCTAAGAGACAAGTATATGGAAATATCTTCTCTCTTCTTAAACCTCACAATTTTGTCACATGATAAGAGTATTGCCTACTTTAGTCTATATAGGGAAAAACTGTTGGGGATTCCACAATATTTTAAGATTTTTTTTTAAGCTTTTTCAAACCTTCCTGATATTATCAAATTGCAGAACCTAGATTTATGTTTTTACAGAATTCTGGACTCTTTGGAGTTAATTGTGAGAAATTTTAGCTGTAAAAATGCTTTTATTAGCTCTTTTTTATTTTTTTCAAGGAAAAAAGTAATTTATAAGATTAATCTGAATTAATATTGTTGAAAATTTAAAAGTAAATTACATGTTTTAATTCCTAAGTGCTCATTCCTTACCGATTCATTTTATTTTAGCAGACAAGCTGATTTTCAGGGCACTTTGTGCTTTAGATTTGTTTACAGTCTAAGCTTGACTAATTATAGTAGAAAAATGTTATTTGTTGTGGGTAAGGACAGAGAGATTTACAAAGAGGTAAATGCTTGGAATTAATATGCTATTTTCTTTAAGATTTAAACACTTCTAATCCCCTATCTACCTTAATTAAATCTGTGAAATTGCTGTAGTCATCATTTATGGGTATGCATGTTAATCTTGATTACAAAATAAATGGGGATGTGGTTTTTAAGCACCATATAATTAAGGAAACAATCGTAATCTCATGAAAATTAGTAAATACAAATTAAATTCTTTAAGTCTTAATTGCAAAGAGCTAATAGACAGAAATGTGATTTAAGCATGATAAACTAGAGCTTTCTGAAACTGTATTTTTGGAAGTTGAGGGGTTTCTGAGTATGGATCCAGTACAACCTGTTTCATTTATTCAACAGACACTGCCAGTTTCCCTCCATGTTTTGCTGGTGTTTCAGTGGGCTTTCAAGGGAAATTTGTGGAATAGATATATTCAGAGAAAATAGATCTTTAGAAAGACATTTCTCATTTGAAGTGAATCTCAGAATTATGTTATTGGATGAGATTGAAAAATGTCTTACCCAGAAGGTATGAGGTTTCTAATCCCTCCAAAACACCAGCTGAGTAAACTATCTTTTTTTCACTTTGTTTTCCATGCAGATTTCTGCCAGAAGTTTGTTTTTATAACGATACAGGGAAGATGGCTCACTATTCACTGTAGAAGTCTGCAATTACTTCAGTTTCATTCTGGCTTTAGAGATATCCCAGCCTCATCAACAGAATTTCAAATTTTGCTCTTGTTCACCACACTGCTTTCACTTATTTTCATCTTAGTGTCGTCAAAAAACTTTCAAAGTGTATTCCTTACTCTGTCACCTGCACCATCCACCTATGAAATAGCAATGGCTTTAGAGATGTTCAAAGTGACCTGCTACTGCACCCTCTTAGATTAACAGTCCAGTTGCCATTCACGTTTGTTAATTACCTTCAGAGGGATTTGGTTTGTGTTGGTTTACCTTTAATGAACATTGTCTTTATGATAAATTAGATAGATGCATTTTTACTGATTATCTTCAAACATGTGACAGACAATGACAAAGTATTATAGAAGAAAGATCCATGACTATTTGGCGGGAAAACCTCCTCCTACACTTTCCTTCTGACCCCTTGCTCTTTTTGTAGTTGGTTTTTGTTATATCTATTTGGTAAAAAAAAATTAAATGCAAATGTATTCCTTTCTTCTTTAATTATCTGTTCTTGTAATTACTCTTCACTTAAAACCTTTATTACCTTGTCTTTATCTTGTCTATGAAACTGATTTGTTAATTTTTAAATAAAAAAGTGATCTGTTTACTTATTTTCTGCTTTCCTTCCTCTCTTCAAGCACTAACAAAGGGTGGAGGGGATTGTGTATGTTTTGTTTTTCAGAATAAATTTTATTTGCTCTAAGCAAGTTGTTTGATTTTTCTACCTCTAGCAAGGAATTAGTTGTGCACAGCCATCTCTAAATTGAATTAGTTTGCAGATGGTCCTCTTATTTGTATGCTTTAAAAGGATTAAAATCTCAGGGTTCAGAGTACTGACCAACCTCTGCAACTTTAAATTTTTTCTTCTTCTTTGTTTTAAAGCAATTTATTTATCAGTTCTAATGTCCAGGGTTTTATCCATGAAGCTTTTAAGCTTATTAGGAACCGGCCATCTGGAACAGTATATTAGGAAAAGCTTCTCAGTGGAATCTGTTATAATTATAACATATTTGTTTCGATGTGTGTGCTTAAAAATTTTATTTCTTCTCATCAAGGCTTAGAAGTCAACTGAAACTCATCTTTCAATCAAATATGCATGTAGAGTGAATTAAAATTTGAGTTGGCAGGATGCATTTATCTAAATGGAAGCAGACCTGATATTTGGAGGTGAAGCTTGATCTTGATTTCTGTGACACATGAACAGATAGCAAACACAAGCTCATCAAGCCTCACCAATTACTGTTATGTATATTCCACTGAGTATAACTTTGATAAATAATAAGAAAAATGAGAATAATAAGAGGTGATTAAGTTTAATAAAACTGTACTATTCTTCAGGCTTATATATCTATTATAATCCAAGTAATATTGTTGTGTATCATTTATTCAAACCAAAAGGTTTTTTAATGACACAGTTAATTTTAACAATTTTCTAAATTTAAAAGAAAAACTACAAGCATGATATTTGATACATTTTACTGCGTTCAGTTACTTCTTTAAACTATGAATGTTGGTTTGCTGTTCAAAATGTATTCATTAAAGCACTTATGTTAGAAATGCAAACACACAGAAGCATAAAACAAAATATTAAATAATATACAATATATACAAGGTACAATAACATGAAGAAATATCCAGATTAGTTTGTAGTAAAATGCCTACATAATTTAGTGTAGTATTGCTCAGATATGATAATCCCACAACCTGAACCCAGATATGTTGACACTGATCTTACTGACTCCAGAATGACCTTGAAATACTTTGTACTGTGTAAACTTGGCTTATCATTTATGTCTTCAAATTACTGTAACTTAGATTGGTGACAAAGGGAATCACCTGGAGCATGTTTTCTGTCTCTTTTTCACTTCTGACTGTCGACAATGCAGAATAATAATTCTGGGTGCTGAGAGTCTTCCATGTTAAAACGTTGCATCTTCAAGCCCATGTTGTCATCACGACTGGAGGATTTTTGAAACTCACAGATCTTGTTAATGGCTTCATTCTTGTTTTCATGGATTCCAGGAAGACCATCTTATGTTTATGTCTAAGTATTTTTACAAAGGCTCAACTTAAAAAAAAAATAAAAAATAATGTAGCCATGTAGCCTTTGCATTTGCAGTCCCTAAGGAATAAAATAAAAGGTAAGAAACCTGAACCTTTTTACAGGTTCAATTTATAAGTTAATTTTAAACATACTACTTAATCTTTAGTGATATTGTGAGTTAAGCAGGAATTTAATCATTATTTCAATACTGTCTACGTGATTTATTTGTGAGAGTATTTTGGGAATATTCTATTCATCAATTTTATAGCTTGTTTTATGATGCTAAATATCCCATATTCATCTTTAATCATTTGATAGTTGCTGTATTATGGAGTTGAAATACCTGTTTCTTCATTAAAATTTACATTATTTTTCTTTCAGGAAACTGGTTTTCAACTCCCTCCTTTTACGAGTCTTTCAACACAAGTTGACCACTGCTGTTCTGCGTTAGGAAGTCTGATAAAAATCTAGAACTGTTTCATAGCTCAGGGGTCCATTTCTTAGTCTGGCTGGAAAGCTCTTAGAATAAATACAGAAGATCAGGAGGTTGTTGGAAGCTGATTTCTAGTGATGTGTGAAGTAGTCCCTAAATTTATTTGGTGTATGTTGAAGAGATTTTCAAGCAGTTCTTCCAGCTGCTTGCACACTTGGACACTCCTGACAGTCCTCTCTGGATGAGGGAGAGCATAGAAACTGTACCAATGAGCTCTGTGTTACTGCAGGATTTCTCCATCCCTGAGGAAGCAGCCACAGGAACACAGGAAAACATACATTTTCTTATGAGCCTGAGAAAACTGTATGAATTCCATTCACACAGCTGTACATTTTTCATAGCTTCCATATGAAGTTTTCTCATTTGAAACAATCCTGGTATCCTGGAGTGCATTGGGAAGAATGTGGCCATCAGGTCAAGGCAGGTGATCCTGCCCCTCTAAACGGCTCTGGTGAGGCCACATCCAGAGTGCTGTGTCCAGCTGGGCTTCTCTGTACAAGAAACACAAGGAGCTACAGGAGAGGGTTCAGAATGGGTCACAGAGATGATTTTGGGTCTGGAATATCTCTTGTATGAGGAGGGACTGTATTATGTTTCTTTTTCTTAGGTCAGGTCTCATAAGCCCTCAAAAAGAAACATAATACATTCAAGGATAGCTTAGCTATTACTTTGGGGCATAAAATAAGCAGGATGACTTCTGCTGCAGTGTTAGAAACAAAAAAAAAAGGTTTATTAAAAGGCAAAGTAACAAACAGAAAAACTCGAGCCATGTGCAGAGGTCTGCTCCTTGTAAAAACACCTCACAAAAGCACTTTAGTTCTTTTGTTCTTTTCTACTAGATGGGCCAGGCGGGACATTTTGGCTTCTATCAAATCAGATGTCCTCAAGTTTTTGGTGAAGTCCCTGAGGTCCTATGAGGTGGCTTTTCACCTAATTGTTGAGAGAAACTTCTGGGCTTCTTTTCTTTTTGGGGGATAAAGGCTAGCTTTGCCACTCTTGTCTACAGGACTGAGGGAGCTGAGCCTGATTATTCTGGAGAAGAGAAGTCTGAGAGGGGTTTACATTTAGGCATATAAACATCTCTTAAGGGGGGTGCCAAGAGGATGATACCAGACTCTTTTCAGTGCTGCCCAGTGACAGGACAAGGAGCAAATGGCCATAAACTAAAACACAAGAAGTTTCACCTCAGCATGAAGAAGAACTTCATACTGAGGATTGCAGAGTAGTGGAACAGGCTGCCCAGGCTGATTGTGGAGTCTCCCTCTCTAGAGACAAGCAAAATCTACCTGCATGTGTCCCTGTGTCACCTGCTCTAGGTGCTATGGCAGGGAAGTTGGACTAGATGATCTCCATAAGTCCCTTACAGCCCATAACCATCTTGGGATTCTGTTACACTGGTGTATTGTGTGTATAAAATGTATAATTCTGTGCATGAGTGTACATAGAGGCTTCATTTTCTTTCTTAACTACTTCTAGGGTCTTGTTTTTGTAAGTGTTAATTTGCTAAATTACTTTTATTGCTTAAATACTTACAAAAAAATGGGGGAAGAGAGGCAGACTTTCAGTGCAGTTTTTCTCCAAATTTGAACTTGAATGATGGTACTCCATGTGAGTTACAAGTGTGGAACTGTAAGAATTGAGTCCTTGAATTATGGGGGGAACAAGAGCATCTTCGATAATTTTTCATCAAATTTAGGACAAAGAAGAATCATGCTGTCATGTTGATATGACCTCTAGTAATTGCAGAACTTTAATTTTCATCTAGTCAAACTGGACCAGGCTTTTAATATTTTATGTCATAGAATTTTTGATTGATGAGATGAAAAATCTGCCACTCCACTTAGCAGCAGTTTTAGTGACTAAATATTCACACTCTTAATACAGAAAATCCTATGTATTTATTTAAAAAATAAATGGATAGCCATCGCTATGACAATGAAATTTATTTCTATTAATAATAGAAACAACAGAACAATAGAAAACAGTACTGAAGAATTTTAAAAAAATTATATTAATGATTGAGAGACAAGAAAATCTTGAGAGGAATAGATAATTTTCTGTCCAAAACTAGGGAGAAAGTAAAAATGTTCATTAGAATTCTATTAAGTCAAGAATACTCTAGCTTGCTATTATCCCCTTAGTAAGATTTTTCTTGTTTCATTCAGTGAATATAGGGTTCTCAGAAGTATGTCTTGCATTAAAAGTTTCAGTGTTTACTTGTTTTTTGTCTGATTTACTTTGAACTGCTACTCCACAGGGAATCTTGAAATGTTTTTTAAAAACGATTTTTAAAAAGTGCTGTCCACTGCAATTTTTCTTTGATCATAATCAATTATGTTCAATATCACTAAATTCTGACTGATCAATAATCTTAATACAAAACTAATGCTACTAACTCTTACTTATGCCCGTTTTTATTATTATAGTATTTCAAGATATAAAAAAGATATTAAAAGTGCATTAGACAATCTAATTGTGCAGAATTATCATTTTACTGTTGCAAATTTCACTTTTTCTTTTTTTTGTTTTTAATTTTGTTTTGTTTTTTGTTGGCAAGCAGTCTTGCTTTTAGTTTTAGCTGTCTGTTGATGTTTTTTGGCTTTCTAACTAATAATCTCCTTTTTTAATATCTCTCATTGAATAGAATTTTGCTGTATAAACCCTCATACATGCTAACTAATCCTTTGTCTTTTCAATGCTTTTATTACTATTATTTTTTAATGATTTCATTGAATTTTCAGACCAGCTTGGGGATGAGACCAGCAGCAATCATAATCACCACAGTGACTATGTTAGCCTCTGAAAATATGAAAAAATTGCACTAAATTGAAATTTTTTTGGAATACATGTTGTCATAGATATTAAAATTCTCTATTCCTTTAAATTTGGCTATCATTACAGGACTGGGAATCCTTGTTTTGGACTTTGTCCTTTTCAGACACATTTTTTAGCATCTGGTAATATTTGTTAGTCAAAATGTTTGTCAGCTCCAGTGATGAAATATAATTACACTTGGATAAAAGATAACCATCAATCAAAAAAATATAAGAATTATAGGAGAACTGTTGTTCTGCTAAAAAATGTTTAATAACCCATATGCATGTTATTGAAAC